GAATCAGTCATTTTACCACTAGGGCAGCAGTTGGAAACTGCTGGTGTGAAATTTCAGTTCCCACTGAAAAGGGAGGTCCCCATATGCACAGTAACCGGCCCCCTCATTGGCTAGCAGCAGCAGAGAGGTGGGGGATGGGCCAAGGAGAACGAGCTGCCCCTCTTGCTGTGGCATGCCAATAGATGGGATGGTGCATGCGGGAAGCTTGCCCGCACTGCCCAGGTGAGGCCTGTTTGAGGAATCCACGCTGCTGGGCTGTTGAATTACCTGCCAAGGCAGGGTGGCTTCTCCTTTCTGTTAGATGCTGATGGTGTAACATTCAGCCCAGACCTGAGCAGCACATGGGCCTCGAGCCATCCAAAGCACAACACACTTTGCGGCAGGCCCAAAAGGATCAGATCAGCAGAATTATCTGCCCAGATAAACCATACTTGTGCAGCAGTCCCCGGGCCAGGGAAGGACTGTGGGGTTGTGACTCCTGCTGCTGATTTCTAGAGTATGTTCCACCTGGGCTGCTGGGTATTTTCACAGCACAGAGAGTAGGGTCGCTGCAAGAAACATGTCTTTGCATTGTGCCCTGCAGGTTGCTAGACCTGGGCTCTGCTGGCTGCTAAAGTGAGCAAGCCCAAAGGCAAAGGCCCCCAGATGAGAAAGTCATGGAGTGATTAAACTCAGGTTCAGAGAGCACCAAAGGTTTCCCAGCTGTTGTGGTAAGGTAAGAGAGAGACGGGGCTCCCAAGTTGGGCCTCAGACCTTTGCAGACGTTTGTTTGCGCCAGCCTGCAGAAGGTGTCGGTATGTTCTGCACTCACTGGCGCGTCCAGGTGGACATCAGGAGCAGATCTAAGGTGGATGAGACGCAGGGGTTTAGACACCCCGTCTCCTCCCCTTTTGGATGGGCGTCGTCCCTGTTCTATGGGATTCCATTTTAAAGCCATTCCCATTGATTACTCACATTCTCATTTCATATTCTAACCGTCCTTTCCCTCCCACAGCCCTGGCTCTGTTTCCTGGGTGGAGCAACTCCTAGGGGAGCAGAAGGGGCCAGGGAAGAGAAAGCGAGTGTGAGAGGGACCGTCACCTGGCTCCATTCAGGAGTTCAGCCCACTGTCATGCTGAGTCAGCTAAGAGATTGTGCTGGATGCAGCAGGGACAGGGCCCTCACCCAGGGCTTAATTTGTCATGAAAGAGGTGTTGGGACTCAAGCAATTTTTTTACATTCATAATGGATACAGCAAGCCCAGAGGTGCCGGGCTATGAACTGCCAGGCCTAGAGACGCTGCGGCTCAGTCCTGGCGAGGCCTGAGGGTGCAAATTAAGCACTGCTCTCCCCTCTGTTAGCTCTCAGAACCAGAGGTCTCAGTGAGGGGAAAGATTCATAGACTCTAAAGTCAGAGGGTACCATCATGATCATCTAGTCTGACCTTCTGCACTTTGCAGGCCACAGACAGCAGGACTGTTCCATACAGGGCTGGCTCCAGGCACCGGCTTTCCAAGCAGGTGCTTGAGGTGGCATTCAGAATGGGGTGGCAGTCTGGGTCCCGTGGCGGCAATTCGGTGAGAGGCCCCGCCGCTCTTCCAGGCGTGGCAGCAATTCGGCAGTAACTCTGGTGCTGTTGCGGAGGTGGCAATTTGGTGGCGACTGCTTGGGGCGGCAAAATTGGTAGAGCCGCCCCTGGTTCCATATGAAGTTTTTTCCTGGGGGAGGAGGGGATTCTGGTGTGTGTCAGACAGACTGAGCCCTGGATCTCAGAACTGCAGTGTGAGGTGAGGCTGGGGGGAGTGTGTGGACTGATTCCTCCGTTCCTTCTCTCCCTCCTGCAACGTGCCCTTTTCTGTGCCTTGACTTTTCTCCCCAATGTAGTCTGAAACCCTGCTGACTTTATTGTGACATTGCTTGGGGCGGAGTAGGGGAGAGCCTACAGGATCCCCTGCACCTTTCCCCCACTCTGTTCCTCCCAAGAGCAACCCATCCTTCTAGACAGGAAGAGCTGGATGTGGCTCCCCTCCAGAGCCCATCAAAGCTACTCCTGGGTTAGCCATGTGGGTGAGTGAAAAGGACAAAGACTGATAACCCAAGGTGCTCCTTCTCCCCAGGGCTCAGGTAGCTGCCTCTAAGGGCCTGACTGCCCTAGCCACTAGATCACATGTCCTTCCTGATCTGAGAATACAATCCAGGAGTCCTGACTTTCAGCCCCTGACTTTAACCGCTAGAGATACTGCCTCTTCCCTTCAGGCTCACAAGCCCTCTTAGCTGCAGCTTCCTTCCGTTCCATACTGCATACCACTGCTTTGTGGGAACACAAGGGTGAGTTGAGTGTCTGGATGGGGTGCAGAGAGGCAGGACTTGCAGCCCCACATCCCTGTGGGTGAATGGAGCGGTGCAGCCTGTCCCTCCCAAGAAGCTCCCACTGTGGAATCACTGCAGGCCGCTTCTCCCTCTGTGGAATTAACCAGGAAAGCTCCGTATGAAGAATGAAAAGTGGCTCCCTACCAGCCTGTTTGTAGATAAAAGTAGCCTGAGAAATCCTGGCTGAATATGCTCCAGTCGGATTAGCCTGGTGAACACAATGCCAAGCATGCAAGTTCAGGCACAGGGGAAGGGGACCAGGGGCACTCAAAGGCCCAGCACATTGTTAAGCATTTCTTCTACCAGAAACCTATCTCCACCGGGGGAGCATCCTGAGCAGTGATGACCCTCTGTTACTGGGTGCCCAGTGTACTTAGCCACCCCAGAGTGGTAACTGTGCCATCTCCCACTGTTTCTAAGGTCTCTTGGCTCCTCCTTTGCCACACACAAACCAAGGGGCTTATATGCACAGCAATCCACTCCCTCCATTGGTATGGGTCCTAAGCGTAGCTAAGTAATTCTTCACGTATTCCAGAAACGAGTCTCATCACAGCAGCTAGTACCAGGCATAGGTGCTGCTGACACGCCATCCCCACACAGCTCAGCTGATACACCTCAGCCCTGACCTGCAGCCCCCCAACTGGACTAGTCCTGGGCTTCCCATATAGTATTGCTAATGCCTCTCCAGTCCCTATCATCTGTGAACACTCATCTGTGCTGTCTTCACTGCACAGCAGGGGTCACACACAGGGAAGCCTGAACAGCTCTGTCAATGTACCTTAGTTCTAACCTGCTCTTTTCCCAGTATTGCTCCTAAACAGCTCTGCCAGCGCTCCTGAAGCATGACCAGCAGCCAACGTTAGGCCTTGTCTTAGCCTGTCCTGTGCTAGTTTGAAATGTGGACAAATGCCCAGTATGGGCTCAGCTAGGAGGTAACTGAATTCACTTCCCTTGTGACCCAAGTGACATTTACAACTAGCTATTTAAAGGTAAAAAGGCAATGCTTTAAAACCTACAGTACACCAGGGATATGGTAGAGTTCAGGAATGAATTATCCATGAAAGCTACACCATGGATATTACTGGAACAAGGGTTACAGGGAAACCTGACAAGCGTCAATGGGGGGTAAGGACCGACTCCTTGCTTAAAATATAAATCAACTAAAACCAACTGGTGGAAAATCATTTCAAAGGTAACACTTTCCTAATCTTTTGGGAATCCAGGGCACTAAACCTGCTGCTGGCTATTCAATCTTTCCATGTAATCTATGCACAACACAAAGACCTTTCCGCTCAGAAATTCTCTGTGACTGAAGATGGGGGTTGGGTGGAAATGTCATCTCCACGTTAACTATAATGTTGCTGCCTTGACATTATCATTAGAGCGAAATCTAAGAACACTGTCACAGTGACCACAGTCCCAACATTTTGCATGAGAAGTGGCAACCTTCTAACGAAATTGTACAGTCATTGGGTGTAGCCATGACAGTTCCAAGAAGAGGGATTCATCCCATGGTCCTGGAAAATAAGATGCCAGTCCTAACCTATCCACCTGCTACACCCTTCCTGGCAATTCCAAGGCTGGGGGTTTTGGAGTCACTGTATGGATTGCAGAGATGATACAGGAAAGCAGGGGACAGTTTCTGATCTAAGTTGGCCCAGTGTAAACCCCACTGACTTAAATGGATTTACTCTAGATTCACACTAAAAAGAAAAGGAGCACTTGTGGCACCTTAGAGACTAACCAATTTATTGGTTAGTCTCTAAGGTGCCACAAGTGCTCCTTTTCTTTTTGCGAATACTGACTAACACGGCTGTTCCTCTGAAACCATAGATTCACACTGAGACTCTGAGATCAGAATTCATGTCTGTGTCCCTTCTGCCGCCTGAATCTGTTTCACCCTGTTCAATCTTTTTACCCAGGCTGCCCAAGAGGGAAATCAAAAACTCAGCAAAAGAAACACAAGCCATTAAAATGTTACTTATTTCTCCTCTAATGTCAAACTGAAAGGCTTGGAGAGATTGAGCAGGCAGGGGCTTCCTCCAGCCCCAGCATGCTTCTAAAGTGGCCCAGAAGTGTTCATTACACAAGAAACTTACTCACAGCAGCATGTCAGATCCTTAAAATGACACAGTGCATAAACCAAATACCAGGCTAAACTCCCATTTCCATGCCAATGCCTGGTAGCCACTTAGAGTATATTTCACCCCTGAAAGAATGTAGGGCTTATGACCAGAGATTTTCAGGCAAATCATTTACCCATTTACAAATGTAAGGAGAGTCCATTTTACTGAACACCAAGGTCACAACAGAAAATAAAATTAGAAATCTCTAACTTCTGGGAAGGGCTCCAAAGGCAGGAGGTGCTTTACTTCACCCCAAAGGGTCATTCTGAATTTTACACAAGATATGAATCCCACTGGAGCCTTTCACCCACACCTTGGGTCACAAAGTAAATTACAAATCTCTGCAACTATCTACTTCCTGAACCCCTAAAGGTTAGGGGACTTTTTTATATTTAAACTTGAATTTCTTTACTGCAACTGGAAATCCTGATCCCTTCAACTCTGCTACATCAAAACCACATCAGGTTCTTTCAATTATTAATGCAATAAACAACACGCGAATAATAACCAAACTGCTAATCTCACCCCATCTCCACGTCAGTGTCAGTTTCTTTCTCCTCGTCCCTTCTTTGATTGCCTTAGATTCACTCCACGTTTTTATTTATATTTTCCTTCCTCTTTCTCTCTCTCTTTTTCTCCGGATCCGGATGCTCTTTAAATTTCCTCCGGAATTTCACTCTGAAATCCGCTAGTTTTGTTGTTTGTTCAAAAATGACCTATAATCCCAAAGCATGCGTGGGAGGGGCAAGGGGGGAATGCTAGGGCAACCTTCCCGGTTGGGGGTTCTCCCCACCAAGAGCTGCAGCCCAGAGGATCCTGGAGAGAACTTTGGAGCACACTTTGCTACAGAAATGTTGCAGTCTCCGGCAGGCAGTTTCCTCCTCGCTCTTGCTCACAGGATCCCTTTTCCCATTCAGTATGGGCAGCAGCCACAAGATTATTTGCTCCTTTTGCAAGCCCTTTGCAACAACGCAGACTGCTCCCTGTTATTCCAGTGATTGAGATGCCCTGGAAGTTTTTTCCACAGCCCAAAAAGTAAAGCTGCCTCCACAGTTTGTTCCTCTTGGTCGCGATTTCTTTGTTCTCTCTCTCATTTTTTTTTATCAGCTTCCTTCCTCTGCCAACTGCCCCATCTCGGTCACATTTCTCTTTTCTTTCTCCTCACTTTATTTCCAATGGGTTCCATCTGGCTCAGAGGCACCATCTGCTGGGCACAGCCGCACTCTGCATCCACTGCAACACCAAGCTGCTAGATACCACCCCGCGCAAAGATGTCCCAACCCCACTTCCTACCTCCTCCATTCCTGGACTTTCTTATGCTGTCATCTAATATATAAAGGCTCTGGGTCTGTCTAGATTAGGATCAAAGCTGCTTGATCAGCTAGTCCATGTTAAAATGCAATTTACCCTTTCTACACTAACATTTTAAAACAGGGGTTGGCACCATCATGTTGTGCGATGGACACCTGACAAAATTACCAGACGTAGTGATGGACATTGGTGGGGGGTTATGTCATTCAGTCATTCAATTTTTTGAAAAATTACCACAGACCTCAAAATTTTTACCACGAACACGTTGCTGACCCCTGTTTTAAAACATGTTGGTTAACATTTAAAAAACCAAACCCCACATCTTTTATCTAAATCTAGCCAGAACCTTTCAGAAAGACAGAGCCTGATCCCTTTATTGCCCTGTTCCTTGCGCCTTTATCTATAGCTGTGCAGAGCGAGTGTGAAACACTAACATTTTTGATCTGCTCACATTTTACATCCACTTTGCACAGGTGAAAATAGCTGAACTAGGTTTGAAGCAGTGGAGAATGAGGCCCCTAGAGAAGATGTATGAATAAAGGGAAGGTTGGATGGATAAACACACCAGAATCTAGAGATGGGGACAGACACACAAACAGAAGCACTAGGATCTAGGGATGGAAATAGATTAGACAATATTAAAGAAAATATATCTTCATGCATATAGCTGGTAGCTTAGCAGTTGCAGTATATATACTTATTATGATAATACTCAAGTTCCCAATCAGAACTGGAGCCCCATTGTGCTGGGTGCTGTTCAGACACAATGGACCAGACCCTTCCCAGCTGAAAGTCCACTGACTTCCCCAGCATTACACCAGGGATGAACTTAGCCCTACGTAGTTGGATGACCTGCACCTTGTACAATCATTTGTGCCAGTGCAGAATGCAAAGTGCTACCAGATCAGAAGAGCAGCATTTTACATTCCCTTTGCTCAGCTGCAAATGATGAGACACAGAGCGGAGCAACACAAGATCAGGCCCTAAATATTTGTCTCCAAGTTATTGATAAAGAACACGTAGCTATGTCGTCACTCCCACTTATGTCAGCAAAACGTGTGTCGCTCAGGGGTGTGAGCATTCCAACCCCTCCCCCGCCCCGAGTGACATCCATTACACCAACGTAAGCACTAGTGTGCACAGCGCTCCACCACCATGGCTCCTGCCGCTCGCGGAGCGGGTTATTTGCTGCCTACGGCAGAGCTCTCTCCCGTCCCCACGGAGTGTCTTCACCACCCAGGGTGCGCCGCTGCAATGCTGTACGTGTAGAGACTGCAGGGCACTCATAGGAAGCATTCGGCCTGCAGTACAAACAGGCCCCTGCTGCAAACCGCACCGTCCTTCTGTCATAGGGACCAAAAATAAATAAATAAATCACATCTCGCCTTGAACAGTATCAGCTACATTTGAGGTGGGGGGGGGGGGGAATCAATGGTCTGTTTCAGATACTTTCGCACATTAAATGCTGGCAGCTACATTTGCACCTGGGTCTGAGAGTGTGAGCACATGCACTCACTAGAGCAGGCAACAGTTGTGCAAGTGCTCACGTTCACATTCCTAGCAATGCACTTGGGCCTGCAACAGGACAGTATTCCAGGGCTTCTCCCCATCCCCACGAACACAGCTCTGCCACTGTGCTTCCGTTGATTTATAGCGGTACTAGTCACAGGCCTGCCACAAACAGCACTGCCCCTGTGCCTCAACCCCCACTAGTCTAATGCCAGGCCTCGCCTGAACGGACTGCCAGTGGTGTTCGATTGTGTGGCTACTGGAGGAGGCCAGTCTCATTTTTTGCCTCTGATTTATTAGGTCACCTGCATTAATAAGGAATTTCCCCAAGAGAGTTTGGCATTAATTCCAGCCAGTTCTGCACATTAACTTTTCCATGCCCTAATAACTTCTGGGCACTACAGGCTTGCACTACTAAGTTAAGGTGTGCCCATGTTCAAGGAATTGCAGAGGTAGCATCCATTCTTTTAGCAGTTTTCAGATGGAGCTTATATAAAAATGACAAACATGAGGTTTCCCCTAGCTAAGACTGTAAGCTCTTTGGGGCACTTGACTTCTTGTTATATTAGTGTAGAGTGCCTAGCGTTACAGGGCCTGGTGCCTGACTCAGACCTTTAGATGCTGCAACAGTCCTGCTGCTCCTCCCCATCCTCTGTCTATTGGGGTATCCCCTCCACATGTGTTTCACAGTATACACAGAAGGGAAATAGATCTAAAATCCTCATCCTATGTCAGCAGCGTTAACAGTGCTGGGAACCCCTCATGCCAGTGTTTTAACCATCATGGCAGCTCCGGCTAGACCTTTACTGAGAAAGGTGAGATGATGCAGCAGGGGCAGCCAATGACCCATCTATTCCAGAGGTCCCAGCATTGACACCGGTGGAGCTAAACAAGTGTTAGAAATGATGGGAACATTTTAAAATTTCTCAAGTGGACACTGGGGCATAGTCAGAAAGGCCACGGCAACAGGTGAAAACAGCCTCTGATGCTTCTCTAACTTGAGCTGGCAGACAAACCTGCAGCTCCAGGACTGCCTCCTCTCCCAGGCCCAGAGCCAAGTTCAATGCTAGGACAGAGATGAATTAGGTCCTTACTCCTTCTGCTCCATTTTCTCTGTCCTTCATACGCACAACCTGGCCACCAATGACAAAGGGACTAAAATAAACCACACTGAAGACTCTGCTGAAAGTAGGACACACAATATCTTTCATATTGACCTGCTAACAGTGGGTTATCTATGGCTCTTCTTAGAAGCTAATTATTTTACATGTTAAAATTAGGGTAATTAGATCAGCAGGAATTGCACTAAAATCAGGTGTTAGTAACCTTATGAGGATGTCCTTTAACAGGGTTTTTGTTCCATTTGTCCCTTCTCCCTCTGAGGGAGGACAGTTATTGTCTCCTGCCCTCCAGAAGAGAAAAGAAATGAGATATTGTGATCCCCCCCCATGTCATTAGTTACACAGCTATTGTCAAGTTTGCACCATTAATCTTCCTACAGCTCTTTGAACAGTGGTTCAGAACACAGACTAGAGCACACAACAGATCATTGCCTAAAGAATATTCTTAATGGCAGTATAATCCCTTTCAAATCACATTCACTGGCCAAGATACACACCTTAGAACTAGCTCTTTGCATTTAATTGATACAACAGGTGATTGCAGTCAGAGAGGCCTTAGCATTATGGTTTCGCAGCAGCTCTTCAGCCTTTTCATTTTCAGCTGTACATTTTTAATGTAAAATCTTCTTCTCCTCACTCTCCAACCCCATTACTTGATCCTGCTAGAAAGGCTGATGGCTATTCCCACCTTTAGCTCTTTCCATGAAAAGTGCAAATGGTTATTAATTAGCATCTGCAAAACTGCCAAATATAGAGATCTGGGAACATGAGCATTGCTGGGTGTTTAGTATGTTTCAACAGCAGGCCACAATTTGTCTGACATTTGCACATAACGGTATACAAGAGGCCCTTGTTGTAAAACAAACGTTTTTAAGGAATAAAAGATGCATTCAAAAGGAGAGATTGACACTCTATTTTAGTGTAAAAACACTTTAACCAACAGTGTGAAGAAACCATTAAACAACAACTGATTTGGTCTTTTCTCTATTGGTCATTATACTGCGATCATCCTGGTTTCTGAGCATCTTTTTCAATTATCTTTTTAAAGCAAGTGTGGTGGGGTGGCAGGAAAGTGCTCCTGCCCAGGAGAGTCAGGTTCAAAGCAGGCCTGGAAACTTCTGCTTCTAAGGCTACTTGGGAACTGGAGAAAGCAAACTGTACATGTTTGGGAGAGGAGAGAAGGAAGCAGTGGAATCCACTCATTCTCTGCATGCCTCTGGCACTACACATGGAGAGAGGCAGAACAGCTCTTTGTTTGGGGATTTTAATACTGGAGAACCTAGGCTGCTCTCCAAAGAAGGAGATGGAGACTATTTCAGGCGAATATATAGGGTATTCAAAGATATTTAACAAACAGGGTTATGGTAACCTGGATTTTGGCCATGCTCTGAGGTAATATATTTGCATCAGCTATGCAGTACATGAACTGGGGCATGAGGCTGTTTATGACAGGGAGAGATATCTTGTAAAGAAGGTAATTAAAATACATTAGGAACTTAAGTTAACGTGTGTACAATGCCTTGAAGATTTAAAGACTTAAGAGAGAGAGACGGAGGCTTTGTGGTCAGTGGTGTGAGCACAGGATTAGCTAGGAATTTATAATCTCTAATCCACAGATCTGACACTGATTCCATCTGTGTCCATAAGCATGTCCTTTAATCTCATTCGTACAATGGGGATAATACCTACTTCACAGGGACACTGGAAGACTTAATAAGGTGGTATTTGTAGAGTAAATAGACACCCTCTGAAGGTGAAAAGCACTATTTAAGTGCTAAAGATTAACAACAGTTCCGATGAAGGGAGCTGTAGCTTACGAAAGCTTATGCTCAAATAAATTTGTTAGTCTCTAAGGTGCCACAAGTCCTCCTTTTCTTTTTGAAGTTTTAATGTCTATAATGGTGCAGCAACACACAGTGTTACAAAAAAGGAGCTCAATACCAACTTTTAACAAATGTTTATTCTTGCAACACATTAAAAAATAACAAAAACTGATGTAACTATCTTTTTGAAAAGCAGCACCTGGACATGAATTTATGTTTAGACTGCTTGGCTCACTAGATTTGGGCTTGTGATTCCTACTAAAACTTTACATTCCACATTCCTCAATAGGAAACATTGTCTCATCCTCAACCAAACAGCTTTGTGAGCTGCAAGTCCCAGATCTCTTTGTGAGACTTGTGTTGTGTTGTACATTAGCGCTGCATTCCTCTTCTGAGGGAGAGCTCACAAGCGGTACTGATTCATTAACAGTGGAGGTGTTCGTTCGCGTGGCTGAACTTTTCCTCACAGCACCCGACCCCTCTGTAGCCAATGTTGGACCTGGCAAACAATCTGCATTTGCTGTTTTTGAGCTTCTCTCTCTGCTCTTCCAAGGCACAGACAGATGGCCTTTGCAAAAGTTCCAAACCAGCAAGGAAGAAAAAAGGAGTGCAAATCCAGCTCCGAAGAGTTTTAAAATAAGCTTCTCTTTTTGGTCTTCCAGGGATTTTTGTTTTGCTGGGTCAGTCAGCAAGGAAGATGATACCAAAGATTTAACCTTCAGAGTTGTGTCTGCATTTGGTTGATTTGTGGTGTAATTCTTAGTAATAATGAAAACGCTGTCCTTTTGGGTATACAGAACATAGCTAGCCACAGTAACAGGGAATTCTTTCCCATTAGCTCTCTCTACAGAATGGCAGTCATAAAATCCAGCATCAGCCACGGTCACATTAAATATGACTATTCCTCCATCATAAAGCAGGTATTTAGAATCTTCTGCCTGAAGACTGCTCCCATTGAACTTCCACACCATCCTAGCCAGGTTGGACATGGGCGCACATTTAAGATGAACACTGTTGCCAATGATAACGGGACAGTTTCTGACATTATTTCCTGAAATTGTGAAGGGTGGTTTAATTAAAAACAATGAAGCCTTAGTTTAACCTGCCTGGCCAAATATATGTTCAAAGAAACATCACGATTAATTAAGGAACATGACTCAAAGGACCGTGAGTGTTTTAAGGTGCGTTAATAAACTAGAGAAATCGACAGATTTAACTGTCTCCTCCCATCTGCTAAAAGGGCATGATAGCACAGATTGATTCTGGCTGGCCTTATTCCCAGTGATATCTAACAGTCTGAATATGGGCTGGAATTCAGGAACTTGAGTTTAAATTCTCACTTTTGCCACAGACTAACACAGTATGTAGCTTTGAGTAAATCTCTTCACCTTTCTGTGCCTCAATTTCTACACCCAATTTGCACACTTGCTATTCTATCGTCACAGAGCAGTTGTGAGGATTAGATATTGCTTGGACACGGCTTTGAGGATACAAATGCTTTCGACTTTACCACATTACACTCATGACCTATAATCTGCAATAGCCGACTCTTAGTTTTCAGTGCAGTTTAAGATTAAAGTCCCTAATCCTGCAAACATTTAAAAATTAAAAATGTTTTAAAAATTAATCACAAATTCATATTTTAAAATGTCTCTCTCTGAACCAGCAGGTTTTTTTTAAATAGTTGACTATTTGAGTTGTATTTCTGCAGAGAAATACCAAATGTCAGTCACAGTGACAGAGTTAACAGGACTTCTTATGTTCCACGTGACTTCTGTAGTATGGGAAGAAACATACCAACAGCCTCAAAAGTCATGGCTCACATTTTCTGCTTCTCATGAGATTAGTGGTTTCAGTCTGAACTAGAATATCCTGACCCCAAGTTCAAAACCTTTAAGAACAAGCCAAATCAGCTCAGCATTTTCTTGTCAAAAATCAATATAGTTTTTACCCCTGTTGTATTTTAATTTAGCTAAAATATCAGGCATTTCAATGACCACAGATATATGACCCACATGCTAGAATTATTTTAATTTTGTACTATATTTCAACAATATTTTGTTAAAGATAAATGTTCACTTACCTACTTTAGGACATCTGGAAGCATCACCATTTTTAACACTCTGAATTAAATCCCTGGAGGAAGAGAGAGATGAATAAAAGAAATACACCATGAAGGCATGTAAAAAATGTTCAAACTTTCAGGACATTAGCTATAGAATGCATCCTGGTTTTGTTACATTTTACTGACTTGTTGAACTGAATTTAAAAAGCAAAATAAATATCATCTCTGGTATGGACCTCAAGCAATATCTTTGGACTTACTTCAAGGCTCCTGTTTGATTAGCCACGAGAACACACTTCTCAAAAGACTCAGACCATGCACAGTAAGGATCCCTTGCCAAAACACAATCCAAGCAGTGTTTATATCGGCTGCATACTGAAACAGGGAGTTGTACCACTTGGGATGGAGACCCTACATACAGCAGGCCCTAGAAATGCAGTATTGAGCTGTTATTTTATAGTACTGTGAGAGTTTTTAAACTTTATGGCATGCGGACAGCAACTTCTGTGATTTGACAATAAATCAACTATATACTTTGAAATAATAGATTACTAATGAAAGAGCATGTGAATATACACAGTGCTTTGCAGAACAAACGAAAAGACAAGATTCCTGGCCTGAAGAGATTACAGTCTTTATGAAAACTTTGGGAATTAATTTTGACTAAAAGTGATATAAATTGCCAAATGTGTGTTTGAAAGTTTGTTTCAGTTATATTAAAATGCAAAAGAATCTACTTCCACAGACAAAATCTCACATATGCTTTTATTATTAATCAGTGTGATGCTAGAGAAGAGTATGTAGTATACACATAACATTGAAAATCCAGATGTACAGTGTAAAAAGAGGAAGGCCTGAAGCATACCATTACACCAATCCCTTTGCATATGCAGAGACAGAGGATCTACCTTTCTGGAAGACAGTTTGAGAGATTGTACAGGCTCTGGGGATTGAAACAGCTGTATCTCTTCCATAATGAACATTTCCCCGTCACAGTTGAGAGCCTTATGCAAATATCCATTATCTGCATAAAATGAAATGTATTTTTGAAGAGAAACATGTTCAAACATAGCATAACAGCATTTTCACTTCAGTTTTAAAATTCATCAGCCTTTTCTAGAGATTTAGAAAACAAATCTTGAGGACAAGAAATTTCCTAAATGTTCAACAGCAATATTTTCCCCATTCGCTTTCTGGTAAGTAAGTAAGTAAGAATTTTTTAAGAAATGGAGCAGTTCCTGATTTTGGAAGATTTCCCTACATTGAGGCTCTTCTGATATGGAAGATTTCCAAACAGATCCTCAATGTCCAACAAAACAAACACACACTTTACCTAGGAACTGGGCTGGAAATTCCAAACTGGAAAGTCAGCTTCTGCACCCCAAGCACTTATACAAAAATCTTAACCTTTCCTTCAAGGTATTCATGGCTTTTGGTAATAGCCGTGACCAGAAGTCCCTTCACTCTATGAGAGATTCACCCATGTGCAGAGAGCTAGCAAGTTCTGTGTACCACTTGTGTCCCAGGTAAGGCCCATTTTGCTTGGGAAAGCCTGCATGGGACATTTCCATGACAATTTTTTTGAAAGCCTTGATATATTTTTAAGTGCTACTTTATTCTATATTACAATTGAAAAGTGTTTAAGTAGAAAATAGCTATCATTGCAGACTTCCTGACCAAAACAAAACGAACAGTGAGGTTACAAAGAAAATTATTATTCTGAATAAAGCTAATGATAAGATAGGTTATGAACTATATCTACACAAGCTTTAAAAAGGAAAGAAACAGACAATAAAACACCATTCATTGAACATTACACTAAGGCCTGGTCTACACTCAAAATTTACATTTATCTAACTGCAAACACAATGGCTTCAATTCAGCAAAGCTCCACTCAAATCCCACTGATTCAAGCAGTAAGAGGTTTGCTGAAAGAGGGCCCATAGGATTAAATTTGTCCTCATACAATACACAGTATCTTACACTAGGGAAATAAAGCAGTTCAGCTAGAAACATAACTTGGAGGAAAAAGGAAACTGCAGGTCCATTATATAAAACCCCCTGCCTGGTTGCTGTCTGATACATTACAAAGTGGTAAATTAAGACGAAGGATTTTTGGTGCATTATTAGGAGTCGGTAGATCGTTTTACTTTTTGAAGGCTCAGAAAAAAATTCTAAAACAAATGCCTCCATAATAAATCTTTTCCCCCCCCTCTAAAATAAAACCACTTACCTGTTCCTATAAACAGAACATCATATGTTTTTTTATCTAGGCCAGTGAGTCTGTCTACTACAATCCTGGTATAATTTGAACCTCTTTTCAGTAGCACTGGCCTATCACCAACTGGATTTACAGCATTATCCATTAAAGGGTGGTCTCTAGCAAACTGCAGAATTTTATCAGGCAAATCAAGAGAAGTGTTGTATCCAATACTCCGGGCAAAATTATCAATGCACTAGAAACAATGTACAACAAACATGATTACAACCATTTTTATATTCCACCAATTTACAGACAACTGTTACTGTGTACTAAACTTTTAGCTATTTCTACACAACTTCCACAATGGGAATCCATCATTCACTATGAATGGAATTCACCTGGGTGCTGAAGACCTGTATAAGGATAGTCGCACTACCTAAACCTTGTGGTGGAGTTGAGTAGGAGGAGTGCCTTCTTAGGGGGCCTTCACACACACACAGACCTGACCTGGGATGGGGGAAAGATGTCTCTGTGCTGGCCATAGAACTGTATCTACACTGGCAAAATTTGGACTAGTAATTCTCTAGCAGAAAAGAAAATAAAGAGAACGTTTTCTTTAGAAGAGAATAAATGAGTATTTACAGCACCGGGACGTGGGAGTGGCACTTCTCCCCTGAACACCATCCATTTAACATGGGAATGTTCCACAGTCACTGGCCCTTTATAGTTTCCTTTGGCGAAGACTTCTTGAACAGTTTTCATACTGAATGCACAAACTGCAGAAATATCCAGCCTTCCCCTTGAAGGTGAAAAAGAAGAAAGAGAAAATGTGAGTGAGTTATTTTGCCCTTACAGAAGGGAAGGCTGTAAAAACAACTTGCTTTTCATAGTGCATGTTGCTATTTGCTCTTTTGGGTTAGTGAATATATATCCATAAATAGTGTCAATCACTGTTCTTGTGATTTACTGAGAAAGGCTTAGGAAAAAAAGACACTGTGTAAAGGATTATATTAAAAATATGTATTTTGTTAAAAATCAAGTAATATTCTCCAAATAAATAAAAACAGCCTAGGGGATGTACATCTTAAGACTAGTTCTTTACACTTCAAAGATAAATCAGGTGACAGCAAGCAGACAGGTCTAAGCATCGTGGTTAGTCAGTTTCTCACTTTCTGCTCTCCACTTTTTATATATAATTCTCTCCTTCCCAAACCCCATTATTTCATCCTGTTAGAAAGTACGTCTTTCCCCTTTGCATCCAGTCTTAAGTCTGAAATTAAGTCTGAAAGGTTAAATGGATTACAAGTGAATTGGGGGCTTTGGGTCAGGTTCTTGCCTCAGTAATACTGGTGTAAATCCAGAGAGACTCCAGTTACTTGAGTTACTCTGGATTTACACGGATGTAACTGAAAGCAGAATGTGGCCCCCTCTCTAACCCATGCAGAAGATGCTCATAGCTATACTAACCTTTCTTGAGAAAACAAACTAGGTAAATAGAGAGAGTCTTCAGCATCATGGATTTCAAGTGAGAAGTGACTGTTTCCACAATCAGAATATGAAATTTAAGATGAGCCCTTGCAGAATCCCACTTATGCACATTATGGGCCAAAATCTGTGGTGATGTGAATGGTGGTGTAAATTATGCAGTAGGCATAAACTGATACAGCGGCAAAGTAATGCAATTTCCACTGATCTGGATATCAATCTCAGGGTTTTGATGCCTTTACAAACCACCAAAGCTACCTTTTCATGATTATTTTGCCAGTGGTACCCTCTGATATGCATAGTTCTGCTGCTGGTACATTTTGTCTGCGCCCCTTTATTAATTAATTAATTAATTATATTATATTATAGAACACACACACACACACACACACACACAGAGTAAGATCAAATTCATCAGCAGTAAAAGCATAGCTTGGAGTCCTGTTTTTATTTTCAGAAAGTACTAGATTAGACAAGTGGGCTTTGACAGATGCTGCATTTGGAAGAAGGGTACTTCAACTTGCAGTGGTTTTCTCTCATGAGGGTACTGCTTATCCTGAATCTTGGAAGGACAGCTGTTTCATTTGGTAGATGAAACAACAAAGGAAGAAGTCAGGGTTTTGGTCTACCTAAGTGATAAGCAATGTCAATTTAAGTTTAGTTAGTTTTAATTTTTCCACCAGCCTGACGGAGAAAGCATAACTCAAGTGTCTGGATTGGCAAAGCTCTTGGCTGGTCTTCAACTAAAAGCTTTAGCCCAGAGGTTGAAAACACCTAGCTTCAGCAAATGGCAGTGTTGGCTCAGTCAGATCAAACTAAACAAGTCTGTTCCATTTAAATATGTGCAATAAATTATCAATTCTTACTCTGAGTCCCTGACAAATGGCTGCAATCAGGCCATTAACACTAAAGTGAAAGCTCAATTCTGAATTCTGAGATTAATCTGCATTCATTAGAGACAAGTTACCATTGGAGGGAAGGCAGTGAACATATAGACCCTGGAATGGCTACTTCACCAGCTGGAAGCGATAGATATAAACCTAGGATATAAATAACTAGGACTGGCTAAATAGCTACATTATTTGTAAAGGATTACATTATTTGTAATTATTTACTTTAGTATTAGTATTACAGTATTGTCTACTCTAGAAGGCTCAACCAAAATCAGGGTCACACTGTGCTATGCACTGTACAAACACACAGTGAAAGACAACGCCTACCCCAAAGAGTTTACAGTCTATATGAAGGGTTCACAACTAATCCAAATTCACATAAACTTGGTTGTAACAAGAGACAAAAAGTTTAGAAGCTCTACAACAGAGGATGGATTTGAATTCATTGTTGATTCTGGTGATAATAGCAACCTTCAGGTACTTTCATAATCTGTTTATTATTATATTAATTATTATAATATAATTTCCTCATATAATAAAAACAAAAAGAAAGAGAGAAGATTATATCTTCAATTAAATCAATTTCCAAATGCGGTTTGACTTGATAGGGGATGGAGATGAAAAACATAAACAAAACAGTTTTATCTTTTATGATGCAAATAACTAAACAATGCACCTCAAAGCGACAGGCAAAAATGTTATTTACCTTTATCGTAACTGGAGTTCTTTGAGATGTGTTGTCCATGTATATTCCACTCTCGGTGTGCACATGCCCCATGTGCTCAAGACCGGAGCCTTTTGGCCACAAGTGTCTGTTGGAGCCATACATGGGGAAGACATAAAGAGTGGAACGGACCCAACTGCCATTCATTTCCATTGCCATAGCAGAATCCAGGTGTTATAGCACTCCCCAATAGCAGGGAAGGAGGGCAGATTGTAGAGTATATATGGGGACACCACATCTTTAAAAACTCCAGTTACTGTAAAGGTAAGTAACTTTTCTATCTTCTCTGAGTGCTTGTCCATATATATTCCACTCTTGGTGACTCTGGAACAGTGACCTGATATAAAGAGGCAGATGCTTGAAGTCTACGTGGACAAAGATTGCAGTACAGCTCTACCAAAAGAAGCATCAGATCTTGATGCTTCCTCCATGTTGGAATTGCTGCCTTTTATGAGAGGCAATACTTAAAATTGAATGACTCAGAATGGGACATTTCCAAGCCACAGTACCAAGAAAATGAGGAAATGAAACAGCAAATAAGGCAGATAAAAACTCCCTAAACTACCCAAAGTTTTCCAACAGGCAACTATATAGACAATTAAGTAAAGATTAGGAAAAAGCGATGCATCAAGACATGGACACTGGGGAGCTCTCTTTCCCCGCCATGGGTAATGAGAAGGAACTGAATGGCGGTTGGCCTGCTCTGACCTTTATGCTCTCACTATGTGAGTATGAAGACAGGCATGGCCCATGCACAACTCCAACAGACACTGCTGGCCAAAAGACACTGACCTGGAGTGCATGGGGGCACTAAGAGTGGAATATATATATAGACATGAAGTGAGCTGTAGCTCACGAAAGCTCATGCTCAAATAAATTGGTTAGTCTCTAAGGTGCCACAAGTACTCCTTTTCTTTTTGCGAATACAGACTAACACGGCTGTTTCTCTGAAACCTATATATAGACAAGCACTCCAAGAAGAACTTTCTTATAGAATGAACCACAATAGAAAAGCTTTGCTTAGGGGCTGAATCTAATGCAGCAGCAATTCATGTACCAGAAAGCTTTTACATTTAGGTTTACAAAATATCTGAAAACAATTCAGATACACAAACCCAACCTCTGCTTTGAAAAACTACTTCAAAATTTTAGTAATAGATGCATTTCTTGTATCTTACCATTGTTGAGTAAAAATCCCATAAAACATGCTTTCCCGCCAGTCTGCTCTCTTAAGTAAAAAGACATCCTGAACAATATTAAACTGGAAATTTGATTCTGGAACGGAACAGGTAAGTCTGGATTTTAAAAATGATGTCCATCTTTTCTGCAATATGCGTTTTCCACCAAGATCACCCTGTATGAAGGGAAAGTGTCATCACTTTAGAGTTTATAGAGCAGGCTGATTTCACTCACATAAACAGACTTGGTAGCACTGTCACACAAGGGCTTGTTCTGACTTCCTACGCAAATCTGAATTTTCAAAGCCAAAAGATTTGAATGTTATAGGGAGGTTTGAACAGGGGGTTCTGAAGAGTCTGGAAGGAGGAAGAAGTAAGTTCAATTTTAGAAGCCTGGCAGTAGAATTTTAATTGGAAAGATGGACAATGCAGATGGAACCATGTTTGCTCATTCTGCCATGAAGCTCTATCTAAACTACTTACATACTTTAAACAAAATTACGATAATACAAATACTAACTTTGCAGACACGAGCAATTCTTGACACCAGGAGTTTGTCATAGAATTCAAATTCAACAGCTGTTTCAGTGAAGAACACATAAATTTTATCATCATCTCCATCTGGATTAGATTCACTTTCCTGCACTATATCCATATAGACAAAGCTGGGCTCTGGAATATATAAACACACATAATGCAACAGTTTTTTTCTAATGTAGAGAACAAAAGGCAATGAAATACCATACATATCAAAAGTTATTTTTTTAAAAAACTGTAGTAAAATAATGTTTTCTTAGAACAGTGGGAAAGGAAAGGACTGGAAAGAGCTTACGAGTTAGTACACAATTTTAAAAATAAAATCTATGAAAGGGTTAAAAAATATGTTTACATAAATGAAAATGGACTACTAATTGCCTCTTCACCATAGTCCTTAATTATAAGATCACTTTTATCTTTAGTCCTCAATTTAGGAGCTTGCTTTTTCTGGACATATCAAAATCAATAAATATTAATTTCAGACAGACAGAAGTACACAGATGCCTAGATAAACCTTTTGCAGGAGATGAAATTTACTACCACCAATGCTAAATGAGAACCTTTTACATTTCATAAAGTAAAGATTTATGGACAAGTTTAATGCTCATCTATCTCCCTTCCAATTTTATGCAGAATAAGGTTTGCATGGAGAGAGGAACCATTTTATGGACAATAAAGGGGCCTAAAGAAGTAAAAAAGCAACACTCCACAAAAGCGATCATGCCTAGAATAGGTTTTGTGTTTACAGACCCTGCAATACAGACATGCAAGATGAAGTGAGTTAAAGATGGGAGTGACAGACTTAATTCTGAAGAAACTATGAAATTCAAAGTCAACATCTGACTTTTTTAGCAATTTATTTGTCTTTAAGTTTAGGACCTGAATAAAAGTTGATATAATAAACTGTAGCAATTCCTACAAAGATGCCTTAAGATCTATGGTGTTTACTAATAACAGGACTAGAGAAATATTGAAATCCATTACTGATGCTTGTCTATTTGCATTTTGTTTGCCTCTCCTATATTAATTAGTGGAGTCTAGCATGCCATGGAAGGTGGTTAGAAAAAAGCTGCACCAACCAGTTTTTGCTTGGTACACTGTTCACAGTGTGAAGCACTTGTTACTGTGTATAAGATATAAATTTTATCTGAAATACACACACACACACAATCTGTTTTGCTAAATCTACTGCTGCCTGTGCTTATCAAAGAGGGTTGTTAGTTACAATACTGACAGAATTGGGATGAGATCCTAAACCAGCCTCTGCTTTATTGTGATACTTATTCAGTAACCAACAAACGTTACAGGTGTTAACATATTAAAAAGTTTCATAATAAAATAAAATTCAACTGAATTTTATACCAGTATTGAGAAAGATGGAAAATAATTATGATCTAACATTTGGCTCCCATGCTTCCAGAGTCATAAACTATGTCACTTTTCAGCAGGCATCTTAAAAATGGCAGCTGCATTTAAAAACAAAGATTTAAATTACATGTCACTGTTTATATATGGCGAGGGGGAGTATCCCACATTAGACTTTCAGAACTCTGCACTGGGAAGAAACATGGGTGCAGTTCTTAATTTTGAGTTAAAAAAATCAAGCAAAGATGGAATATTTTCCCTGCAGGGGCTAAAATAGGTATAAAAACATCTTACCATTTAGCCAAGATGCTTTAAACTCTGTCCTTAGATGGTTTCTCAAACTGCGAAGTATAATAGGTTCAGTGCCCAAGAAGTTGTTTGAAGTGGCTGAATAAAATGCACTATCTGTGAAGAGTTTAAAGAAATAAAATTACAAAAAATACTTTTTTTTACAATGCAAAGAAATGGTCATAAATTATATGTATTTATCACATGCAAATGTTTATAGCAAAAGTAACCTGAGGAGCAGGTATAGCTATGATTTTACCTGCTGAAAAGTCTAGGCTGCTGGTCTTGCAAGGTGCTGAACACCCTCAGTTCCTACAGAATTGATTAGGAGTTGAGTCCACGCAGCACCATGCAGAATTAGGTCCGTAAGAGCGTAAGATGTTGGGGCAGAAAGGTATTTTGTTGGCTTTGTAGACATTTGTCTAAAATGAATCAAGGCTCAACTAGCTGGAAGTTACATGTGGCTTGTAACTGCAAATCTCTAAATGTGAAACTTTTATACACCGATATTGTTCAGAGTATCTGTAGGCCCCTAGAGTGGACCTTAAGAAGAGTTAACAGGAAAATGTGAAGAACATTGCTGTTTGAGCTCTATATTTATCCTCATCACCATTTAGAATGAATCATAGAGAACTATGTACACCAGACATCAGTCCTGTTAGGCAGCTTGTTTTCTTAAGAAACAGCCAAATATCCCCAAAACCTATCAAGTATAAATCTGTTTTATCAGTATTTGAAGGTCACCTCTTTTTAAGCAACTTTATGTCAGTCCCTTGAGCAGTCTCTTAAAAACAGATTTCACTCTGAATTTGTGCATAGGTCCAAAATGGGTTGACATGGAGAGGATGCAACATGAATTTAAAGTTCCAGTAAGATCAAAGGATAAATATATGAATACTTTAAGAACATGGTTTAATAGGCAAAGGACAAAACAGACAATGAATGTTTGAAAGTCAACAATTGCTAGGTGGACTCTCAGAGAAGTGACCCAGACGACCACTCTGGTAATCTCAAATGTTGCTAAGAGACATTGAATTCATTCATTCATTCATTCAAGGGTAGTTTTTGCACAAGGAAGAAAATCTTTTCCATGTGGCTTTCTGAAAGATTGCCCAGTGCCTGTATGACCTTCAAACATCTGAAACCTAAGAAATTCAAGAGTAAGCAGCTAGATTCAAGGATATCAGATATGGATGCAAGAGTCATACTAAGAAAATCATTAGCAATTAATCTTTCTGAAAAAGTCCCTATCAATGAGCCAGCAGAGGCCAAAAAGGAGATACATACAGCAATGCACTAAAAACAGCTCCATTTAGTTTTTCATATAATAGTTTAATCTGTGTTCTCTTCCAACTTTTAAACAACAGATCAGAGGTTAACACTTCATGAACATGCACAGACATCAAATTAGGATCATAGTAGTTGACAGTTGTGATTAGCTGTGAAAAATGATTTAGTCTTACACGGAATTCCCAAAACATACCAACTAACAGAGAAGCATACTTCAGAGTAGGTTCAAAAGGACATCTTCCTCTGCTTTCTTCGGCTTTCCCTTGCAGATGAATATCTGTGCTGTTGATGACCTGTTGTAAACAATCATTCTATCAAGCTGAAAGCAAGAATCACATCTGATAAAATAAAATGATTAACAATTTATTTTAAAAGAGAATAATCATGGAGTGAATATGGAAATATGAGTATTTGTACAAATAGAAATGTATCCAGTCTATTTTTTCTGGGCTTCTTTGTTTTTAATTAACTACTATGAAAACTCCTCTTTCAATTAATTGGCCACTGTTGAAACACCCTGCCCAGAGTCGGAGTTTAAATCTGCTGAGATTATGTGAAGGATAAGAAACCAAGTAAATACATTTTGGTTTGGAAAATGTATTTCTTTTTACAATGCATGCTCTTCTACTGGGAGTAACACTGCAAATTGTCTAAAATCTGGTACAAGTGCCACCTCAGCGAAGCTCTCAGTCTTTATAAGTTGCCTGCTATGTGAGAAAGTAACTTCAAATATAAAGCTAGGCTCTTATATGTGCATTTGGTGAAAATATAGCATTCATCTGATTTGCAGCCTACTGTCAGCATTTATTAATTATTATTTATATAGCCTGATTGGTGTTCCTGGCACTCAACTGAAATGTAATCCTGTTTTAACTTTTATTTTTAAACAAAATTTGTTCAAAGAAAAACTAGATTAGATGAACAAAGGAAAGAACTAAGAATAGTGAAATATACATACAGTAAGTAAACATGAAAAGCATTCAGAAATACATGCACAGAGATAAGGCAACAAAATAAGAAACGACAATTACTGTTTCCAGAAATAAAACTTTCTAGCAAAAGATGAAAAATACAGAAGTCATAACGCAAGCACTTAATGTTGCTGCTAAATTTGTTTCAGTATGACCAATCATACATTAAAAATAATTAATTTTTTAAATTGAAAATAATTACAATAAAATAATGAATACTAATTTTCCATAGGAACATTACTTGGAAAGGTGCTTAAAGATCTACCATACTATTCAAACAATTATATGCACATGCAGTAAGGGTGTATTTAAGTATATAAAATGCTTACCATGTAATCACAAGCTGGGTAAAATGCATTGGTTCCACAAACATATAAGTTGGTGTCATTTATCTTATGAAGGAGGAGGATGTAGTTTCGGCAATCTACCTGAAACAGAAAAAATAATAGTAAATTTTCATACCATAGCGGCAAGTGCATGAAGGCTTCCAGGTGCCTTCACAAAAAGCAAACAAGACCTTAAAACACATAGAATGTGTCCAAATACACTGGACTCAAGCTCAACAGATAAATTAAAGAGTAACACAAATTTTAATACTCAATAATTTTCAATATCAGATCTTAAAAGTAGGTTTACAGAAATTTACAGAAATTACTAATCATGTATATAGTTGTGCAAAGCCCAGACCCAGAAAAGCATGTTAAGAACATCCCAATTGATTTCCCAATTGATTTCATTGTCCCAATTGATTTCAGTGTTACTGTCCACATGTAAAAGTGCTTTCCAGGATCAGGGCTTAAATATGCATAGCACTATACAGATAGAGGGTATTGCCAAAGAGACAACAGTCTGAAAATAAATGGAAGACAGAGTGCATGCAGAGTGGGGTGTATGAGAAGTGCAGTCAGTGCCACAAGTACTCCTTTTCTTTCTGTAAAAGAATAGAAGTTTCAGAACCAGATTCCTATATACTTGCTTATTGTTTTTAAAAAGCTACTCAACAGGGTAACTTATTTAATAAGTAGGTAGTGAAAACAAACACTTTACCTACTTTGTCCTTTCCTCTGCGAACGCATTCCAATTGTCTATCCCTTGTTGCGAACCAGTACTCCTGGAACCCAAAATATATCCCGTATTTAGCACACTGTGATTTTTGGTCAAAAATTCTTAATGTAAAATCAAAACCAAAATAAATCTACATTTTGGTTTTGCTTTAAGGAGCAAGTCCAGCTGCCACCTCCATGGACGTTCCCCTAGCAGTGGGGCTGGTGTGGTGCCACTGAATGAGGAGATGGGGCTAGATTTAGGGGTTACCCCAGGGGTAAGTGCCCTCAGGAGAACACGGACCCTATGTAAGCAGGGGCTTTCTGATTGGGCAAGGAGTTCCTGGATTTGGTCTTTACTGAAGGTCTTTGGGTTGTCACATGGGACACAAGATGCTAAAAGCACATTTTATGAACGAATTACATCTAATGACATCATTAGAATATTGTAGCGAATGTCACAAAGCGCAGGCAGTTTCCCCTATAGACTCTGCAACATGCTCAGCCACACCCAAATCCTGTAAATTGCTGTGCTTGAGCAAATGCCTCACTTTCACTGGGGTTTTGCAGAGGCATGTAGAATTCACCCACGTGGAACAGCTTACAAGATGAGGGCCCCAGTTTGTACAGAAACCCCACAGAATATGCAACTTCCTCCTCAGAAGGCATGTCTTTCACATCGGATTAAATATATATGTCTCATAATATCTTGGTGTTCTTTCACGTCTATTCTTGTAAATTATTTACATAAAAAAATGCCATATCACAAAACAGGTTTCATGAGAGAGGAACCTAAAAGAATCATTAAACCCACTTCATTTGAAGTCAGTGAGAGTTGTGGGTACGCAGCATCTTAAAAATTAAACTATTACAGTCTAAAGGCACAAATCAGTATGATACAGAGCTGTACAACAGAAAAAAATAATACAATGCTATCCAGTAGAGCTAACTCTGAGTGGCTGCAGACTTTATAGATTTGAATGCTTCATGGCACAGTTGTGCCTTCAGTTTCAAAAACAGGAATTACAAAGAGATATGCAGGCAATGACTGATGCATATTACCACCTTGAACAGAGGTATCTATTTGCCTTGGATTTATGAAAACATTTCAACAAAAATAATAATCGTATCATGTCATTTAGGTCATTGTTCCACATGAGGGCATTGGTGGATTGAGAGCCAAGAGATTTTAAGTGGTAGTTACTGTGCTGCTAACAGCACCCCTGAGGTTTTATAACCCATAGCTTTATCACTAACTAAACTGACTTGGGTCCTGATCCTGCAAGGACGAGAGTAAATCAACTGAGGTTCTGATCAATCTCATTTCTGAATCAACTCAGTGATGCTCACCACTTTGCAGCACTGAGAAGCTAAACAAACAAAACGGGCCTTACTTTTATTGTCATTACAACATGGGCTCATATGCATTAAGCACATTGATCCCAATCCGGCAAACTCTTACTCAAGTGAATAATCTTAAGTAGTCCTACTGCTTTCAACTCTCTACTCGCAGAAGGGCCAGTCACAGGAGTAAGGATTTGGCCTTTGGTCTACATTTTCCCAGATCTGAAAGGTCCATTATCATCACCAAGCACTACACTGAATTTGTAACCTCATTAGTACAGTGACCAATATTCCTACCGGAAAAACTTCACAGAGAGTTGTAATTCTCCAGATCATAGGACTGAACATCTATCTCATACTAGCAGTTGCAAGACATTGCTTTGTTGTCTTTAAAGATCTGAAAATTAAATTATTTCAGAAAAAATATAACCTTAAGCGAGACAGGTTTTTTAAAAAGAAGGGATAAATAGTTGTTCAGCTTACACTGGCTATTTCTCTTGAGATGTCATTCAAGTCAAGTGCAAATACAGCATCTCTGGCTCCGACAAATAAGGTATCAGTTTCTTCACTCACCAAGAGTGTGGAAAAATTGGATAATCCTGGTTTCATAAAAGTTTTTATATTTCCATCTAAAAACATACAAGTTATAAAGTTATTTTAAAAATTATTTGCTACTAAAATACCATTGCCATGAAACAAAAATATCAGACTGAAAAAGGGACAGCAGTGGGACAAAGGCTTATATTTTATTCACATTTTCCAGGATCGTGTTTTAAATAATTTTCAGTTATATACGGATATTTTATTCCCACTGTTATACAGAAAAATAACCAACACAAAATCATTATTAACTGGACACCAAAGTCTCCAGCCACTAGATTCAATGTTAGGGTAAATCACAGCAGAACATGCATACAAGAATCTGGGAGAAAGAGTGACCAATGGTGTTGAAAACTGTGTTGTCTTCAAAATTATCACAAAGGGTTCTTTGCATGAAAAGCAAAACTCTTCTACTTATTAGATCTCACAAGTTAAGTAGATTTGGGATGTGTCAGTACTTGGATGGGGAAATACTAAGGGATGACAAAAGATGTGTTGGTTATGCAGTTGATGGCATTCTTTTCTCTGAGCCTTTGCTGAAAATCAATGCCTCAACTTGGTGTTAGGTGAAACTGTGTTATTGAAAGTACCATGTATTTGTGCGAATACAGACTAACACGGCTGCTACACTGAAACCTGAAAGTACCATCTTTCAGATGACACATAAAGCCTAAAATGTGAAAACCTCTTGTGGGGATTAAAGATAGGATATCATAACATTCAAGAGATTGGAGTTCATAATACTAGTATCCTGGTCAAAAGCTAACTGAAAATAAAGTAATTGTTTCAGTCAGTCTAGCTGGCAATTCTTACACACCTACCACACAGAGGGAACCCTACTACTCTGCAGCATGTATCTTTAACACAAGAGTTTTATCACACTTACTTTGGTATGTTACTGTTTTTCTGGGAATGCAGCTCAGGATAGAGGCTTCCATCTGTTGCATTAATCCATAAACAAGATAGAGACAGAGGACAGCAGCGGTACCACTCATTTTCAGAAATCCAGTTAGAATATAATCTATCCAGTTTTAATTCCTTGAAATTTGAATATTTACAGTCAGCATTTTCTGCATGGTGCTTGAAAATGTCTTGTTAGGAGGTCTTAGATGTAGATATCTATAGCTTTTAACATTTTATGAAGCTTGTGCAAATCAAAATAGCCCTTTAAATTGTTTTATTTGGAAATAAACTTTTCCACTAACATCCAATAGATATACCCTAAAAATAAAAGCAGTTTAAGATCAATTCAACTGATTACCTTGATTGAGTACCTTCAACTGATTAAGCAAAGATCAACTGATTACCTTAGCTTTCATAACAAAAATGTATTCTGCACTCTTACAAGTCTTTTCGTTTGTATTTTACAGCTACTTTGTATATCAGTAGCCATTCCTACCTGACACTAGTCAACCTTTGTCTGTAGGTATGACTGTTTTGATCAGATCTACTGCATCCTGCAATAAGTAGGCACAACAGAGCTAACGTAATAATGCTGTGTGCAGCTTTCATTAGATGATTTTTGCTTTTGTGTGTTTCTGCCTCGGCTGTGTTTCAGGTCTTAGTCTACCACTGTGGAACAATCTGAATCCATGGTCTCCTTTTGGGAGAGAAAGGATCTGAAATATGTTCTTTTTGCAGTTGTACCAAAGTGAAGGGAAAGGTGTGTGGGTAGGTGGGAAGCAGGACCGACATTAGATTGCTGGCGCCCAGGCCAGAAACAAAGGAGTCCGAGTCCAAGCCCAAGCCCCGCTGCCCAGGGCTCAAACCAAAGCCTGATCATCTAACGTAGCTTCACAGGGCCCTTAGTAGCATGGGGCCCCAGGCAATTTCCCCACTTTCTACCCCCTAACGCCATCCCTGGTAGGAGGGCATCACTGGACAGAGCTCAAAAACCTGTGTTGTGTGAAGCCCACAAAGTCTCAGTTACTCAGTTGAAGTTATAACAAATGATCCCAGCCTCCAGTTCCTTCTCCCACCCATTTACTCCTTCACCAGGCACCATGCTGCCCCCGAACGGGTCTCTGGGCTGTGGGAATGACACCAGGATGGGGGCACCTCCAACAGTTTTCTCCTGGCAGGAGAAAGGAAGGCCAGGGCACGCCAGGGGAGCTCAGCTCTGGCCTTGCCTTCTGGCAACCAGGACACTCCCCGGTGTGTGTGGGGGGCCTTCCCCATCGACCAGCTCCCCGAATCCAACCCCCTTCTATGGCTCCGGGGGGAGGGCGGGGGCGGCTGGTAGATGGTAACGGCGCCTCAGTGACTAGCAAATACACAGCAAAGCTGGACCCAATGGAGCCCGCTAGACCCCCTCCCCAGGACCCCAATACCCCCGCCTCAATCCTCCCAGAGCCTCCACACCCCACCCCACCCCTCCCTACAGGAAACCCCAGGACCCCCCCCCCATCAGCTCCTCTGCCTCAGGGCCTCCCCCCATCTCCCCTTCCAGCCCTCAGGGAGCCCCCCCCATCCAGCCCCACCCCACTTCACCTCACTCCAGCGCTTTGGAGCAACACCTCGCCCCCCCCCCCCCAAACTGCCGCATTACCCGCCAGGAGACGGTTGGCCCCACGCGCCCCAGATTCCCGCGCCGCCCCTCCCCCCCTCGACACCGGCCCCCGCCCCGCCCCAGTCGCCCCAGCCCAGCCCCCTGATTGCACCCCCCTCCCCGCAGGGCCCCCGCACCAGCCCCCTCCCGCCTTGCCCGAACCGGCAGCTGCGGGCTCTCCGGGCTCGCCCACCGCGCTCCGCCCGGGGCAAGCTCCGCCGGCAGCGGGGAAGCCATTTCCCCGGCAGCCGAATCGCTCGCCTCCGTCAAAAGCAAGATCAAGGCACCCGCGGCAGTACTTGTTCCCAACACGTGCCGGGGGAGAAGCCTGAAGGTTCCTCCGTCTCCCTCCGACCCGCCTCCTACCATTGTCCTTAACCCTAACAAACCCCCCCGGCGGTGGAGTACAGCTAAATTGGTTAGTCTCTAAGGTCCCACAAATACTCCTTTTCTTTCCAAGAACTTGAATCACTTCATGAGTTACAGCGTCCCAGCAAACAAGCTGCCCTAAGGGCAAGGAGGTATATTTGCAAAAATTAACCCCAAGGAGCATCAAAAATGAGGTTAACATTTCAGATTCACTTTTTTTTTTGGGGGGGGGGGGGGCTTGCTGGCTGCAACTCCCACATTTAGGGCACCTGCGGCTTTCAAAAGTGTTTCAGCTACAATTTTTGCTTTTAGTCAGCACTTTTAAATTGGTGACACTATCAAATTGATCAGTGCTAAAGCACCGTAGGGAGGGGAGGTAGGTAACATGCTACACCCACTGTTTCATGTTCTCTATGTATATAAATCTCCCCACTGTGTTTTCCACTGAATGCATCCGATGAAGTGAGCTGTAGCTCACGAAAGCTTATGCTCAAATAAATTGGTTAGTCTCTAAGGTGCCACAAGTCCTCCTTTTCTTTTTACATTTAACTAAGTGGAGCTTTGCTTGAGGGAGTGTGAATTTTTTTTCATAATTCTTTAAATACCCTTTTTTCCTCCTTCATGCCCAGTTGCTGTACCCATTCTGTAGGAAAGAAAACTAGAAAAGCACAGGGGAATTATACCAAGAAACAAACAAACAAAAATGGGACAGCAAATTAGACTGTCAACGTGTTTTGTACAATATTTTTTAGTACTCATGGAAAGCAACTAAAATACAAATGTGATGAAATAAACTTTTATCCATTCCAACTTCATCTCAGAAGAACCACTGGATGGAAAACCTACTTTAATAGCTGTTTGCAGTGTGGTTGTACCTATGCTGGCCCCCGGCTATAAGAGAGACAAGGTAGATGAGGTAGTATCTTGTATTTGGACCAACTTCTGAGAGAGACAAGCTTTTGAGCTACACAGCGCTCCTCTTCCAGTGATAAATCCAAATACCTTCAAAGGTTCAGTCAACTAAAAGTGTACATTTTCTCCCACTTGAAATATAACAGAGTAACTCAGGAGTCCCTCAAGAGAAACTAACACCATTGCACTTATGTGAGCTGTAGCTCACGAAAGCTTATGCCCAAATAAATTTGTTGGTCTCTAAGGTGCCACAAGTCCTCCTTTTCTTTTTGCGGATACAGACTAACACGGCTGCTACTCTGAAACCTATATTTACCAAAGTTTCCCTAAAAATGTGCTGTATTAGAACCCTAGGAAAATCAATTACAGATAAGAGACCTATTAGTCATCCACTCCACTGACTTAATAATGTAGGTTTCAGAGGAACAGCCGTGTTAGTCTGTATTCGCAAAAAGAAAAGGAGTACTTGTGGCACCTTAGAGACTAACCAATTTATTTGAGCATGAGCTTTCGTGAGCTACAGCTCACTTCATCAGATGCATACCGTGGAAACTGCAGCAGACTTTATATACACACAGAGAATATGAAACAATACCTCCTCCCACCCCACTGTCCTGCTGGTAACAGCTTATCTAAAGTGATCAACAGGTGGGCCATTTCCAGCACAAATCCAGGTTTTCTCACCCTCCACCCCCCCCCCCCCACAAATTCACTCTCCTGCTGGTGCTAGCCCATCCAAAGTGACAACTCTTTACATAATCAAGTCGGGCTATTTCCTGCATAGATCCAGGTTTTCTCACATCCCCCCCACTCCCATACACACACAAACTCACTCTCCTGCTGGTAATAGCTCATCTAAACTGACCACTCTCCAAGTTTAAATCCAAGTTAAACCAGAACATCTGGGGGGGGGGGGGGGTAGGAAAAAACAAGAGGAAACAGGCTACCTTGCATAATGACTTAGCCACTCCCAGTCTCTATTTAAGCCTAAATTAATAGTATCCAATTTGCAAATGAATTCCAATTCAGCAGTTTCTCGCTGGAGTCTGGATTTGAAGTTTTTTTGTTTTAAGATAGCGACCTTCATGTCTGTGATTGCGTGACCAGAGAGATTGAAGTGTTCTCCGACTGGTTTATGAATGTTATAATTCTTGACATCTGATTTGTGTCCATTTATTCTTTTACGTAGAGACTGTCCAGTTTGACCAATGTACATGGCAGAGGGGCATTGCTGGCACATGATGTCATATATCACATTGGTGGATGTGCAGGTGAACGAGCCTCTGATAGTGTGGCTGATGTTATTAGGCCCTGTGATGGTGTCCCCTGAATAGATATGTGGGCACAATTGGCAACGGGCTTTGTTGCAAGGATAAGTTCTTGGGTTAGTGGTTCTGTTGTGTGGTATGTGGTTGTTGGTGAGTATTTGCTTCAGGTTGCGGGGCTGTCTGTAGGCAAGGACTGGCCTGTCTCCCAAGACTTGTGAGAGTGTTGGGTCATCCTTTAGGATAGGTTGTAGATCCTTAATAATGCGTTGGAGGGGTTTTAGTTGGGGGCTGAAGGTGACCACTAGTGGCGTTCTGTTATTTTCTTTGTTAGGCCTGTCCTGTAGTAGGTAACTTCTGGGAACTCTTCTGGCTCTATCAATCTGTTTCTTTACTTCTGCAGGTGGGTATTGTAGTTGTAAGAAAGCTTGACAGAGATCTTGTAGGTGTTTGTCTCTGTCTGAGGGGTTGGAGCAAATGCGGTTGTATCGCAGAGCTTGGCTGTAGACGATGGATCGTGTGGTGTGGTCAGGGTGAAAGCTGGAGGCATGTAGGTAGGAATAGCGGTCAGTAGGTTTCCGGTATAGGGTGGTGTTTATGTGGCCATTGTTTATTAGCACTGTAGTGTCCAGGAAGTGGATCTCTTGTGTGGACTGGACCAGGCTGAGGTTGGTGGTGGGATGGAAATTGTTGAAATCATGGTGGAATTCCTCAAGGGCTTCTCATGGGTCCAGATGATGATGATGTCATCAATATAGCGCAAGTAGAGTAGGGGCTTTAGGGGACGAGAGCTGAGGAAGTGTTGTTCTAAATCAGCCATAAAAATGTTGGCATACTGTGGGGCCATGCGGGTACCCATAGCAGTGCCGCTGATCTGAAGGTATACATTGTCCCCAAATGTGAAAT